TAACACTTGGCTGGAGGGGGGACCCTTGTCTTTGTAGTACTTGCGGGCAATGGAGTCCTTTCCTGAAACCTCTCAGCTCAACGACGACGAGGGCTGAGTTGGATGAACCGCAGGTTCGGACTGCAGTTCCCACACTCCTCCTGGCTGGGGGATGCTGGGCGTCGGACTCCTTCCAAGTCACTTTCCCAAGGAGGGTTAAACTAGATCCATCAGCTGGACAGGCTTTCATTCTGGGAGTTCCTGGTCATCAAAACTGGCCGCTTGAGTTGAAAACACAAACGGCTTCTTCACCTCAGGCTCCTGGTTGTGAAAACAATCCTACCCCTGTGCCTCATGGGGTGAGGCGTTCTGGGAGTTGTAGTCCAGCCCCGCTCAGGAAGAGGGAAAGAGAACAGCGGCTGGACTTTTAGCGCCTCTGCCATGGCCAGCCCTGGGACAGACTGCGTCAGCTTCTGAATGCCACAGCACTCTACGTTGCCTCTCCCGCTCCTCTTTTTACAGCAGGGCCCAAGCGCACCCGGAGTAAAGCCTTTCGCATCCCTGGGCTGAGTCGCAAAGAACGTGAGCGGGACTCCGTGTGAGTAGAGAGACCCTTCCTTCCTTCCTTCCTTCCTTCCTTCCTTCCTTCCTCATCCATACCAACCCTTTCTTCTCCATCATCAGCTCCTTCCTTCCTTCCTCAACCATACCAACCCTTTCTTTTCTGTCTCCTTGTTCTCCAGGGAGTCCCCCGATGCAGATACAGGGGTGAGTAAGAGTGTTATTTTGGGGTTGATTTTATCGAAGAGTCTGCAAGCTTTTAAAGTCACACAGCACTCTTTGGTAGTGAATTTGATGTCTGTCTCTGTTTCATTGTGTGGGTGATGTGAGGCCTCTCGAGGTCGGAGAGGGCGGGGATCCGAGGGTGCACTTCTCATTCCTTGCTCACTCTCGTCTCTCTCATTAGCCCCCCGAAGTTGATGAGGAGGGGTTTACAGTTCGGCCTGAAACGGATCGGAACGATATCCTTTGAAATGGTGGGTCTTCGGGGCCTCTGAGATCAAGCAGGGTGGCTTTTCGGACGAGTCCTTCCGAATGTTTCCCAGAATCAGCTTCTGGTTTTCAAGACGAACTCCCAACTTCCAGTTCTTTATTTGTACAGAGATGCAAAACAAAGCCAAAGATGGGCTGGGAAGTCTCTTCCTGCTATGGAACCAGGAATGTGTGTTTGTGTGTGTTGTGGGGGAAGAACGTCTGGTTTGTGGTGCTGTTGCTGGGGTATTTTTAAAGGAAGTGGCTATTTTTAAAAAATGCCTCCCGAGCTCCTGGATAGCCGTTTTATACAGCCCTGAAGGTGTAGCGGGGTGTGTGTGTGTGTGTATGTAATCTGTTATGTCAAACAATATATAAATCGTGTCCATAATTCTCCCTAAAAACCCAGCCCTGAGAGCTCACTCCCTGGCAAATAAGTCAAAGATTATAGATGACCCATCATTTAGAGAAGGAATTTTTTAACAGCAGAAAGCATCTGATTGTAGTGGGAAACTTTCTCTGGCAATAACTCACTGGCTTAGTTTCGGTGCGTAGTTTTTCCAGACAGCCAAGCCTGGTTCTATTCTCTTTCCGTTGGCTGTTCTGATGGCTTGGAAAGCTGACCCGGATCCCATTCGGTCGCTGAGTTGATAAAACCCCACGCTCTTCCCTTGGGTGCTGTCATTTTTTACCGTTTAATGTGCCTTGACTTCTCTGTGGCTCCCACGCGACACCGGCCGCCGGCTGTGCTCTTCCAGTGACTCGGACTATGACGACGAGGAACCCCACAAGTTTTACATCCGGATCAAGCCCGTCCAGCCCCGGGAGAGAGTCAGCAGCGCCACCGCCGTGGAGCAGCTGAAGGCATCCGTGGGCAACCTCATCTTGCCACCCAGCGTTGGGGTGAGAGGGGGCCAGAGTTTGGGGCAGGGCGGGGCGAGGGGAAGAACGGGGTGGGCCCCCTTGAAGGACTCCCCCACCGACCTGACCCCACCCCTCTTCTGCTTTCCCTTTTCTCTAGTGCACGATGAAAAGGCATCCGTCCCGTAAGTCTTCCGGATCCCACAGATCCCTTTGGCAGGGCCTGCCAGCAAGGCAGAGGAGGCTGGGGGGTGGGCCCCACGGTGTCGCCTCTTCCTTCTAGCTTCAGTTTCATCTCCCTGGAATGCTTTGTTTTTATGCTGCTGATATTTTACGCGGTAGGACCCCAGTATCTGCGGGATTGAGATCCACGGATTCGCTTATCCGCGGTCTGAAAATATGGAAAATATTTAAAAGAGGAAAAAAATCTCAGAAAGACATGTTTCCAATGATGTCATTAGCAAAACAGGCCACTAGAGGGGGCCAAAGACCACACTAAGCATAGTGTTTGCTTTTATCTGCGTTTTCACGATCCCCGGTGGATACAGGGCTCCGACTGTACTACACTTCCATTTTCTTATTGTTATTATTATGATTATATTCTCGTCACCTTTCATATTTTCAAAACCCCGCATGCCATAGAAACCGCTGCCCCCCCATCAAGTCTGTCCCCCTTGTTTGGGATCAAACCTTGTTTGGAGGGTTTGCCTTATCCCTAATTTCTCAAAAAATAAAAACACCCTTTCCCCTTCTTTCTCTCCAGGACATTTGAAAACTTTTGCCTCTTCTGGGGTGGAAACCGACTCAGACTCGGGCCCAGGTGAGGAAAGGGGGCAGGGAAGAAGGCTGGGGGGGCCACGTGGGAGGGCTGTTTATCCACAAAGATCTTGCATTATTTTCCTTCTCTCCAGGGGACAAATCGAGGCAGACGCAGACGCCCCAGCTCGCCACCCGGAGCAGCAGGTACTCCCCTGGGGGGGGGTGTCTTGGGGGGTTCCCCCCTGGTTGCATTTCGGGAGCCTTGAGGTGGGCTTGGTCTTGCTCAATGCCATGACTTTCTTTGACCCCCTTGGGCAGCTGCGAGAGCAAAGCCGAACCCGACGCCCTGCCGGCCAGCGCCCTCTTCGGACCCCCGCTGGAATCAGCCTTCGAAAACGAAAACTTTGCAGGTGGGAGCATCCTTCCCCCCCCCCAGACCGGGGGAAGAGGAGGAGGAGAAGAGGGGTCTCTCCCCGATGGGTCTGGACCGTTTCTGACATTAGCGGGGGAGCCCACCGGCATGGCCTTGGTGGGGTGCCCTGGCGGGCGGGAGAGGGACGTTGGTCCGACTGCCCCCCCCCGGTGCTCACTCTCTCTCCGGCTTTCTTTGGCTTCCCTGCAGCTCCTCCGTCGTACCTTTTGGCCTCCAGCCCATCCCCCTTTTCCTCTTCCTCCCCGGAGAACGTGGAAGATTCCGGCCTGGACTCCCCCTCCCACTTGGCCA